AAACATTATAGTATAGAAGGCATAAAATCAAAAACAGAAAAAAGGTCATAGTATAGTAAGGCATAAAAAGTGAAAAATATGTCATAGTATAGTGAGGCATAAAAAGTGAAAAAGACGTCATAGTATAGTAGGGCATATAAAGTGTTAGTACAGTAAGGCATAAAAATTCATAAAAGCGACGCAGTATAGTAAGGCATAAAAAGTGAAAAAGACGTCATAGTATAGTAAGGCATGAAAAGTGAAAAAAAAGATCATATTATAGTAAGGCATGATAAGTGAAAAAAAGGTCATATTATAATAAGGCATTAAAAGAGAAAAAAAACCGTCATAGTATAGTTAGGCCTAAAAATTGAAAAAGACGTCATATTATAGTAAGGTGTAAAAAGTGAAAAAAAATGTCATATTATAACAAGGTATAAAAAGTGAAAAAAACGTCTATTATAGTAAAGCATGCCAAGTGAAAAAAACGTCATATTATAGTAAGGCACAAAAAGTCAAAGTATAGTAAGGTATAAAAAGTGAAAAAAATGTCATAATATAGGAAGGCATAAAAAGTGAAAAAAAACGTTATAGTGAAGTAAAGCATAAAAAGTCATAAAAATGAAATAATATAGTAATGTATAAAAAGTCATAGTATAGAAAAATGTATTGTATAGAAAGGTATGAAAAGTGAAAAAAACATTATAGTATAGAAGGCATAAAATCAAAAACAAAAAAACGTCATAGTATAGTAAGGTATAAAAAGTCAGAGTATAGAAAAATGTATTGTATAGAAAGGCATGAAAAGTGAAAAAAACATTATAGTATAGAAGGCATAAAATCAAAAACAAAAAAACGTCATAGTATAGTAAGGCAAAAAAAGTAATAGTGTAGTAAGGCACAAAAAGTCATAGTATAGTAAGGTATAAAAAGTGAAAAAAAGGTCATAGTATAGTAAGGCATAAAAATTCATAAAAGCGACGCAGTGTAGTAAGGCATAAAATGTGAAAAAAAAGCTCATATTATAGTAAAGCATAAAAAGTGAAAAAAAAGTCATAGTATAGTAAGGCACAAAAAGTAATAGTATAGTAAGGAAAAAAAAGTGAAAAAAAACGATATAGTATAGTAAAACATAAAAAGTCATAAAAAAGAAATCATATAGTAATGCATAAAAAGTCATAGTATAGAAAAATGTATTATATAGGAAGGCATGAAAAGTGAAAAAAAACGTCATAGCATAGAAGGCATAAAAACAAAAACAAAAAAACTTCATAGTATAGTAAGACATGAAAAAGAATAAGAAAACGTCATAGTAGAGTAAGGCATAAATTAAAATAAAACAAAAGTCAGTATATTAAGGCATGAAAAGTGAAAAAAACATCATAATATAGTAAGGCATAAAAAATCATAAAAAAGTCATAGTATACTAAGGCAAAGAAAGTAATAAAAACGACATAGGATAGTAAGGCATAAAAATCATAGTATAGTAAGGCATAAAAAGTAAAAAAAAATGTCATAGAATAGTAAGGCATGAAAAAAAACAAAAAAAAAGTCATAGTATAGTAAGGTATAAAAAGTGAAAAAAACGTCACAGTATAGTAAGGCATAAAAAGCAAAAAAAAAGTCATAGCATTGTAAGGCATAAAAAGTCATAGTATAGTAAAACACAAAAAGTCATAATACAACAAGGCATAAAAAGATATAGTATAGTAAGGCATAAAAAGTTATAAAAACATAGTATAGTAAGGCATAAAAATTCATGTTATATTAAGGCATAAATAGTCATAGTATAGTAAAGCACAAAAACTAATAAGGCATAAAAAGATATAGTGTAGTTAGTCATAAAAAGTCATATTATAGTAAGGCATAGAAAATCATAAAAATGACATATTACAGTGAGGCATAAAAAAAGAAAAAAAAGTCATAATATAGTAAGGGATAAAAAGTGAAAAAAACGTTATAGTATAGCACGGCATGAAAAGTGAAAAAAAATGACAGCATAGTAAGGCATAAAAAGTAATAAAAACGTCATACTATAGAAAGGCATAAATAGTCATAGTATAGTGAAGCACAAAAAGTCATAATATAATAAGGCATAGAAAGTCATAGTATAGCAAAGCACAAAAAGTCATAATACAACAAGGCATAAAAAGATATAGTATAGTAAGGGATAAAAAGTGAAAAAAAAGTCATAGTATTGTAAGGCATAAAAAATCACAAAAATAACATAGTATAGTAAGGCATAAATAGTCATACAAACGACATGGTATATGTTACAACCAGCTCGTTAGGGGAAAGGGAAGTAACATAAAACCCAAGATGTTAAGGGTTAAATAAGGTTATTTATTAACAAAAGTAAACAGGGTAAGCAAAAAGAGAGGGGGCACAAGAAAAACAAAGCCACCCAATAACGCAATTAACACAAAGAACACAAGCAGCTAACAAAAGAAAAGCAAAACAACAAAACACCAGCTCTCAAACAGAGCTGCACTTAGCTTTACGCTAGAAAACTAAACACACACAACCTTAGCTCTCACATTGTTTCACTCGGCTCTAATCAATTCACTCGGCTCTAATCAATTAACAACAATCAACAAGCACTGGTACACAACAGTGCGGCGGCGAGTCTGCATACGGGCAACACAGATCGCCACGAACAACCGAATGACAGTTCTTTTATACGCGGGGTGGAGATGAGAGGCGGGCCCAGTTGATCAGGAGAGATGGCTTGCAGCTGGAGCATCGAAGGTGTGGCGGAAAGGCGGAACACTCCCAGGAAATCCCGGTGACGTCACGGGCATCCCCTCTCGCAGGGTCAGACTGCAACAACAGGCGACCGAGACAGAACACAACACAACCACACACACAGGGAAAGACAAAGGTCCCCCGAATACGGCCACGGCCGTAACAGTATAGTAAGGCATAAACAGTCATAAAAAAGTTATAAAAAAGAAATTGTATAAAAAGTATTGAAATATTCATAGTATAGGAGGGCATGAAAAGCCACAAAAATCATCATAGTATCAGAAGTCATAAAAAATTATGTAAATGAAACTCATGTCATAAAATCATCATAGTATAGTCAGGCATAACAAGACATGAAACAGAAATTATATAAAAAGGCATGAAAAGTCATAAAACCATAGTGGTATGGTAAGGCATAAAAAGTCATATAAAGTCATGAAAGTGAACTAGTATAAAAGGTCAAAATGTTATAGAATAGTAAGGCATGAAAAATCATGTAAATGACATTGTATAAAAAGACATAAAATCATCAAAGTATAGTAATGCATGAAAAGTAATAAAAATGTCATATGAGCAATTTCACACGAGAGGGAGTGATATACTGAATATAAGCATGGCTGTGAATCAGTCATAGGTACGAGGATGCACACACAACACAATCACAGCTGTGGGGTTCAGTGTACAGTGTGTACGGAAAGTATTCAGACCCCTTTAAATTTTTCACTCTTTGTTTCATTGCAGCATTTGCTAAAATCAAAAAAGTTCATTTTATTCCTCATTAATGTCACTCAGCATCTTGACAGAAAAAAACAGAAATGTAGAACTTTTTGCAAATTTATTAAAAAAGAAAAACTGAAATATCACATGGTCATAAGTATTCAGACCCTTTGCTCATTATTGAGTAGAAGCAGCCTTTGAGCTAGTACAGCCATGAGTCTTCTTGGGAATGATGCAACAAGTTTTTCACACCTGGATTTGAGGATCCTCTGCCAGTCTTCCTTGCAGATCCTCTCCGGTTCTGTCAGGTTGGATGGTGAACGTTGGTGCACAGCCATTTTCAGGTCTCTCCAGAGATGCTCAATTGGGTTTAGGTCAGGGCTCTGGCTGGGCCAGTCAAGAATGGTCACAGAGTTGTTCCGAAGCCACTCCTTTGTTATTTTAGCTGTGTGCTTAGGGTCATTGTCTAGTTGGAAGGTGAACCTTCGGCCCAGTCTGAGGTCCTGAGCACTCTGGAAGAGGTTTTCTTCCAGGATATCTCTGTACTTGGCCGCATTCATCTTTCCTTCAATTGCAACCAGTCGTCGTGTCCCTGCAGCTGAAAAACACCCCCATAGCATGATGCTGCCACCACCATGTTTCACTGTTGGGATTGTATTGGGCAGGTGATGAGCAGTGCGTGGTTTTCTCCACACATACCGCTTAGAATTAACGCCAAAAAGTTCAATCTTGGTCTCATCAGACCAGAGAATCTTATTTCTCATAGTCTGGGAGTCCTTCATGTGTTTTTAGGCAAACTCTATGCGGGCTTTCATGTGTCTTGCACTGAGGAGAGGCTTCTGTCGGGCCACTCTGCCATAAAGCCCCGACTGGTGGAGGGCTGCAGTGACTTTGTGGAACTTTCTCCCATCTCCCTACTGCATCTCTGGAGCTCAGCCACAGTGATCTTTGGGTTCTTCTTTACCTCTCTCACCAAGGCTCTTCTCCCACCATTGCTCAGTTTGGCTGGACGGCCAGGTCTAGGAAGAGTTCTGGTCGTCCCAAACTTCTTCCATTTAAGGATTATGGAGGCCACTGTTTTCTTAGGAACCTTGAGTGCTGCAGAAATTCTTTTAACCTTGGCCAGATCTGTGCCTTGCCACAATTCTGTCTCTGAGCTCCTTGGGCAGTTCCTTCGACCTCATGATTCTCATTTGCTCTGACATGCACTGTGAGCTGTAAGGTCTTATATAGACAGGTGTGTGCCTTTCCTAATCAAGTCCAATCAGTTTAATTAAACACAGCTGGACTCCAATGAAGGAGTAGAACCATCTCAAGGAGGATCAGAAGAAATGGACAGCATGGGAGTTAAATATGAGTGTCACAGCAAAGGGTCTGAATACTTATGACCATGTGATATTTCAGTTTTTTTCTGTCAGGATGCTGAGTGACATTAATGAGAAAAAAAATGAACTTTTTCGATTTTAGCAAATGGCTGCAATGAAACAAAGAGTGAAAAATTTAAAGGGGTCTGAATACTTTCCGTACACACTGTAAATCCAACCTCCCCGCCTCTGCAGCCCTGCAGCTCGTCCACTGGAAACAACCCAAGAAGTCGGCGGCGTCATTCGGCCTGTCACTGCTGGTTCTCATCTCTGTGGCAACGCTGTCAGTCATCAGTGTTGTGTCCTACCTGCTGCTGGCCTGCCTCTGTGTCACCATCACCTTCAGGTAATGACCAATCACAGCACACAGTGTCTGCAACCAATCAGTGCAGGTCCTGCTGTTAGACATGACTATGATGATGATCAAACATTTCTGTAAGTACTGAGGTAAATTCATTAAATACTGAGATAAATTCATTAAATATTGAGATGAATTCATTATATATTGAGGTGAAATCATTTAATATTGAGATAAATCATTCAGTCATCTCAGAGTAGAAAATGCTTCCATTCATAGGAAATTACATCATAATAACAGTCGTCTGCTTCCTGTCTGTAGGGTTTATAAATCAGTGATTCAGGCTGTCCAGAAATCAGACGAAGGCCATCCATTCAGGTAACACACATGTCTTTCTATACTTGTTAGGACCTGAACCTAGACAGGCAGGACCGTCAGGACCTAGACTAGGTCTAGGTATTGGCTGACGTGTCCCCATGATGCAGTAATGTTTTAAAAAATATAATATTACAAGTAATTTAAACACATGGTAACACATACACACTCAAATCAGTATTAATAATAAGATAAAAACCAGATTCAGATTTCCTGAAGAAATTACACTCAGTGATCACTTTATTAGGAACACCACACTAACACTGGGTAGTTCCTCAGTTTTTCATGGATCCACCAAATGTTGAAACTTTCCTCTGAGGCTCTGCTCCATGTTGACATCATCACCATCATCGTCATCTTCATCTTCATAATCGTCATTATCTTCATAATCATCTCTGCAGATTTGTCATCTGCACATTCAGGCTACCAATCTCCTGTTCTACTACACCCCAAAGGTGTTCTGCTGGATCCAGGTCTGCAGAAGGGGGTGGGGCGTGACTCACTGTTGATGAAACCAGTTTGTTACATGGCGCATGATCGTGCAGGAAGGAGCCATTAGAAGACGCTGAACTGTGGCTATGAAGGATGAACATGGTCAGCAACATTCAGACCATGACTGATTGGTATTAACACCATCACACCACCACCAGCCTGGGCAGGTTGGGTCCATGGATTCAGACTCTGACCCTGCTATCTGCTGCCTCAGCACAAATCCAGATCCATCAGACCAGGTCTTTACCTGTCCAGTGTTGGTGAGACTCGCGTTTCTGGTCTTGGTGACAGGAAGTGGAAGCTGATGTGGTCTCTGCTTTTGTAGGTTGGACGTGTTGTTCATTCTGAAGCTTCTCTGCTCACCACAGTTGTAAAGAGTAGTTATCTGAGTGGCCAGGCTCTGTCCAGGCTCCTCTGACCTTTGACCTCTCGCATCCACACAGACCTGCTGCTCACTGGATGGTTCTGTTGTTGGGTTAGAGATAAGCCGTTAGATAAACACTCAGAGTCCTGATTCACATTCTTCTTCATTACCTGAAGCTCCTCAGCTGGATCTGCTGTTGCCACATAATTGGCTGATTGGATAATTGTACGAATCAGCAGGTGTAAAGGTGTTCCTACCAAAGTGCTCAGTGAGTGTAAGTGATTGCTGTGAGCTCTGTATAAGGGCCTGTTTCTAAAAGCCAAAATCCAATATTAGAAAATAACAGATTTTGTAGTAGTAGTATTGATAATGGGCACATATGTAAGACCTCCGTCCTCCTCCCATCTACTCTGATCTCCTGACCTTCTCTGACCGTCTTTGACCTCCTCTGTGCTTCTCTATCAGGTCTCTATTGGAGAGGGACATCTCAATGTCTTCGGAGTCAGTCCGCCAGCTTGCTGATCAGTCTCTGATCCACCTGAACTGGTTAAGCAGTCAGACCAGGAGGCTGCTGCTGGTTGAAGACCTGGTCGACTCTCTGAAGGTCAGAGTCATACAAAATGAGTTAGCATGGTGGCTAACTCTAGTTTGTATTTATATAAACAAGGTTTCCATGGGATGGTTAAAGTCAGTTTCTAGAACTACTATGCAGTAGTATTTTCTTTCAAACCTTGTGGACCCACTACTTGCATGGCTGAGGGAGGTGGTTGGGAGATACAACCTGCCAGATTTAATCCACAATAGTGCTTTGTTATTGGACTGCTGTGTTCGTCATGGATCATCCATCACAAATGCCATGTTGTAGTAGAAGATGACTTATTAGTACAACTCGCACCAGACTACTTGGGACCAAAGACCGATGATTGACTTAGTCATTGTAATTTGTCATCAGATCTGCAGTAGTATGTAGGGGAACAGACCTATTAGTTGAAATGGATTGTGTGTTGCTGTACAGACCTGGTTAAACCTCCAGAGGGATTATCACCACATTCAAGTCGTCTGAGTGGTTCAAAGCTTCAACTGCTGAGGGGGTTCTCAGAGCTGCTGGTGGACAACATTAATTGTTCTCTGAATGTGTGTTGTCTGTATGTTCTCTCTATGTTCTATCTATATTCTCTGTATGTTCTCTGAATGTTCTCTCCGTGTTCTCTCTGTGTTCTCTGATGTTGCAGTTGGCTGCTGTCATGTGGCTGATGACGTATGTTGGAGCTGTGTTTAATGGCGTCACGATCCTGATCCTTGGTGAGGCTTGTTCTTTCTGGTTCCCTCTGGTTTTGTTCTGTTCACTGGTCTGAGAGTTTCTGCTTAACACAGACTAATAAACTGATGCTTACTCTCTCCGTCTAGCTGACATCATTTTTTTCACCACTCCACTGGTCTACCAAAAGAACAAGGTACATGGAGAACATTTCAGGATTGAAATGATTCAGTTTATTTTACTCTTTATTTTTTAATCTATGAGGCAAAATTCATGTTTGTGTTCCAACAGTGACAAGGTTTGATTTATGCTGTGTGTATGTGTATGTGTGTTCAGACACAGATTGATCAGAACTTCGACTTGGTTCGGTGCAGATTGGAGGAGACGCTGTATAAGTGAGTTCCCTGAGAACCTGCTCTGTTCTGATTATATTATTATTATATATTATATTATGTTATTACTCATAAACATTTGAATCCAATATTATATGTTGAACTGAACACATTTAGAGCATTTAGTATCACTGTGACATGGTCTCAAGACACAACCACGGCTGCTACTGGACCTAACTCCGGCCATGAGTGAGCAGCGTAAAGATCAGAGGGTGTAGTGGTTAATAAATAAACTCCCAGCCAATCACATCATTGCTCTCATCCTTCTTAAACTGCCTGAACCAATCACAGTGAAGAACCACCGGTGAACACATGGAGAGATTCAGAAATAAATGTTTACATCTGTCATGGTTTTGTCTTTCTTTTTTTCACTTTTGTTGTATTTGTTTACATTTGTTGTGATTGTTTACATTTTTCCTATGTTTTGTGTTTGTTTACACAGCAGGTAAAAATAGATGATCATCTCTAGAATCACTGTTCATTTTGACCTGTGGAGACACCTGTGACATCCAGAGCCAGATGCATTTTGATTGTAATGTTTGTGTGGATGTTGATTGGTGGTTCAGGTGTTGCTGCTGGACACCCTTACATATTGTTTCTGTGTCTTTAGGCTGCAGGACAGGTTACCAGGAGCTGTGAAAAGAACCAAAGCTGAGTGACTCCCTGACCTTCAAACACTGTGGCTCCGCCCTCTCCTCTGATTGGTCTATTTGTCAGCGACTCACCTGCTGAATTTATTCTGAAAGTCTTGTAATAAAAGCGAGATTGATAAAAAATAGTTGACTGCTGTTTTGTCGGGACCAGGAGTGGGCGACATGGAGGGAGACAGCACCAATCCACACTGGTGAAGATAGCTGTAATTTAACTCTCTTTCAGTCTGTTATTGTTGTTGAAAACAAGTGAAAGAGCATTTCTCCACAGGCATCCATCTAAGAAGTCCTGCTTTTTGTCTCTTTTGCCACCAGACTGTCTGCCTTAAACTCCTTCTCTAGTAAAGGTCAACCATGAAGGTGTTTCAGATCAGTTTAAAGGTGTGCTAGATCAGTTTAGAGGTGTGTAGGTTAGATTTAGATAACGGTGTCACCTTTAATGGGGCCCAGCAGACTCATGATGACAGCCTGATACCCATTGCGGGGCCCAGTGATTGGCCAAAACATCATTTAACCTGAATACTAGGCTTCCACAGGAATGCTGTATTGATAACTGTCAGCAGCTTACCACAAATTAATCATTTTATTACTAAAAGAAATGATTAAAAGTAGGTTTTAATAAATCAGAAAACACTGCACAAACAAACACCAGAGGAACAGAGGGAGGTGGATTTACTGATACTGAAATAATCAATAATCAACACAGCTAATGTTTCATGTTCTGTTACCTGACAAATAGATATATTAACTTTCAGGGTGAGTAATCAGCTTATCACAGATGTGATGTTATTCATGATGTGACCTTAGAGGTGTCTGAGTGTGCTTAGTGGCGAGTAGAGAAGCCGTGGATCTCCAATTTTGAAATTTCTCGCTCGTTGGAGAAAACGGCTCGATCAATACGAGAACTTGGACTCCCCACGCTCTTCAGCCAGAGCTTCCTGGGAAACACAAGAAGAGAGAGTTGTTCTGCTGATTTGGCTCCTCCTCCTAAGAGTCACACCTGAACACAGATGTGAAACACATGCTGATCTGGTTCAGCGTGACATCACTTCCTGAGGATGTCATGATCTGTGATGTCCCTCCAGAATAAAGCTGCAGAGAAACAGAGGCTACAGAATTTTTTTAATTTCCTTCAGTTTCACAGTAAAACATCATGATACACTGCAGACAGGAGCTGACAAAGACCGAGTGTATCACTTGATAACGGGACAGTTTGACTACATGGAAACTGATCTAGACTAAAAATGAGGTTCAGGTTGTAGCGCTGATGTTATTGTTCCTGTTTACAGGAAGCATTATGGGAACTGTAGCTCTAAAACTAAAATGGTCCCAAACACAAGTAAGACAGAAAAATAACAGGAGTGACAAAATCCACTAGTCTGAACATGTTTTTACATTTCTACAATTAACTCTACAGTTCATATGGCGTATGTGACAGTTCAGTCTGCTGTCATCAGCTGAACCGACCTCGCTGATTGGTCAGTGTGTGGAGGTATGGCACTCATTCACAACAGAAATAAAAATAGTGAAAAATAACTCACATATCGTTGACTTTGCCCGGAGGTCCCTGGATTTGACCAATCACAGTGCCCTGTCTGGTGTTCTTCACCCAGCCGCTCAGACCCAGACTCCGGCCATGATCCTCCGTGTACTGACACACAGTGGGAAGTAACTAAATATTTTTACTCAGGTACAGGAGGACACTGAGGAACTGATTCAGAACCAGCTCCACCTGAAGTAGCTACAACAGTAAAATGCTGCTGAAGCATCAATGACTCAGGATCAGTGATCTCATGATGTCACAGACGATCAGAGATCAGAGCTTCACGTACTTATCTGATTCACTTTTTTGTTTTGATTTTATTTCTTTATATTTGAAGGTTGGTTAGTTGGAAACAGCAGAGCAACAGTAAATTCATTCATAATTTCATAAAAGAATCATTTGTTCATTCATTATCTACGAAGTGTTGCTTGCACATCCAATGGCAGTGGAAGCTGCTATAATCAAAATGCTCCATGACTGTCAGTACTAATAAAACAGTAAAACATGGTATTATCATTCAAGCACTAGAATATTATGCCATATTATTGTTATAGCATATTATTAGCATTATGATTATATCATTAAAATATATTAAAACAAATTTAATAACATTATTATAGTGATAACATGATTCATCTGAAGTCTGACATGAATCTCACCATTCTGAAGCAAACACCTGTAAACAGACAGAAGAGAAACCTCATTATTCTCTCATTATAAACATAATAACATGCAGTTTAAATAATATTTATATATATATGCCTTTTACTAATTAAAATTATTACACTGCTGTGATGTCAAAAAAATTTATTTTTAATTTGATTTCAGTCATTTATTAATAAAATCTAAAGCAGAGTCAGTTTCCGCAGGAATATTCAATGTGAATATTTACAGTGTATATTCACCATATTTACTGTATATATTTACTGTCTATATGTACTGTAATACAATTTACAGAAATCAAAGAGAGAAACATATGAACACTGTAGAAACATGAGAGAATCTACACACAGACAAACACACCAACAGTAGATACATACACACGGACACATATGTGCCATGAAACATATGACATGTAACATGTTACCTACCCTGTACATTCCCAAAAATCTCATAGTCCACTGAAGTCAGTTTTATTTCAGGCATGACAACGTTCAACAGACAAAATAAAAGCCCAGACAGAAACATGTCAGTCCACCTTAAATTTAACACTGATCTCAGCTGTGTTTATTTTTATGTCTGACATTTAAAACCCCTCTGACAGCACTTTCAAAAATAAGAGCAGCGTCCTGGGATGTCTGTCAAATTAAAAGCATCAGCTGAAGGATGTGCTTCTGATGTTGTTGTGAAACGTGACTCTCAGACATGAATGAAATGGTGACACTAATAAACATTGATATGCTCCCTATGTGTAAATATCAGAGGTCTCATGGTATGTGTCTTTAACAGATAAATATGAATATTTATGTTCCTGAGGATGAACGCCACCATCAGGACTAAATCAAAAATAACCTGATGGTCTGTTGAACTGCTCAACTTCATCAGTTTCAGCTTCATCTTCAACCACAAACTGCTTATAAAACAATTCTTCTGAAGGTTTGACAGTCAGCTGTAATGTCAAAATCAATCCTGAACAGAAAAGTCTTAATCAAAGCTTTAGACCAGTAACAAGCAGGAGTTTTCCCAGTCAAACCAGTGCTCTGAAGAGAAAGGATAGAGCAGCTCCTAAAGCCAAACCCAGAGACAGAAAGAAAGCCATGATGGCTCCAGCTGTTTCTGCTTCATAAGGAGAAACGTTCCTGTGGAATAAAAGATATGTAATATTAGTATTTTATTTCATAATGTCAACTTTATTGCAACATATTTAATGTCAATTCAGTATCTATTATACAACCTTCAATGAAGCTTTAACAAATGTTTAATATGAGGTCAATACAGTTCAGTTAAGTGAAGCTGAAAGACTCTGTGTGTTTTACACTTACCCGTGTAGTGTAAAGAAATATTTATTCAGTCGTTTGTTCTGATTGTTATTCAACTATCAATACTGTGTATTAGTGTGATTGATTATTAGTGAAGTATCTTCATCCTGGTACACATGAAGGTTTATTGATTATCAATCAGTTTCTTACTTTGGTCCGTAACACATGCAGAGGCTGGCCAGGTATCCGTTACTGAAGGCGAAGATGATCATGAAGACTATGAAGAAGCCATCATGGTAGAAGAAGACAGGCAGGTGGAGACGAGGTTGGACATTACACAGCATGAAGAGAGGGATGAAGACCAGGCGACACACGATGGACACAGGAAGTAACACACTGTCCTTCTGAGGCTGGAGACACAGACAATAATTCACCAATAAGCATTTTATCTGCTGTATGTCCTCCAGCCAGGTGGCGACAGAGGACAGACTGTATGAGTCGGGTGGAGATAGAGGATGTGTTTGATGTCTCTGTGGATTATTAAAACTGAGCTGTTGAATGTTAGATATGAAACTCACCCACATACAGATGGCTGTTAAGCTTCGCCCGGCCCAGTCACACAAGTTAAAGAGCAGGAAACAGCTGACTGGGATGAAGTACAGGTCTGCAAAAGATCATCCATGAAGTGTAGTTAGTGGCTCCACCTGTATTACCTCCAACCACACACTAACAGTGGTCATGTCATCGATAAGAGGTTAAACTTCACACAGAGGTCAAAGGTCAAACACCAAAGGTGACTAGTGATGGAGAAAAGACCTTATGTGACTTTTTCTCACATGTGGGCAAACTGTGAGAGAGCATAGCAGAAGCTGAGGTCATGACTGAGAACCACGAGGCAGGTTCAACAAACCAGAATCACTTCCTGTGATCTGGTTTAACTGAACCTGACTTGGTTGTGATAACCTGTACTATGAAGCTGGTTATCACCTGGTTCAGGCATGAGCTCTTCATGCGACAGAGGAAGAGTTTTAATTATAAACATCGTCAGAACCATGAATAAAGTATTAATATGATGTGAGAAGAAATGCCGACACCTGCAGGTAAACTCAGGTGTAGTGACGTCATCAAGTGAAATTCAACAAGGTGAAATGTGAACAAACTAGAACAGTACTAACTAGAACTAAAGTCAGTCTGAGGATTAACTGTAAATAAGAACATGAATTATCATCAAGTTTGTCTCAACAAAAACAACACCAACACCAACACCAACACGAACAACAACAACAACACCAACCCCAACACCAACGCCAACCCCAACAACAACACCAACCCCAACCCCAACACCAACACCAACACGAACAACAACAACAACACCAACCCCAACACCAACGCCAACCCCAACAACAACACCAACCCCAACCCCAACACCAACACCAACACGAACAACAACAACAACACCAACCCCAACACCAACGCCAACCCCAACAACAACACCAACCCCAACCCCAACACCAACACCAACACGAACAACAACAACAACACCAACACCAACACGAACAACAACAACAACAACAACAACAACAACAACAACAACAACAACAACAACAACAACAACAACAACAACAAC